GCATAGGACCGCAAGYTGGCTTCTTTCAGACTCACATCTCTGAGCTCCTTAAGAGCTGAATCTTGTTTTGTACAAGTTAAAAAAGTCCAGCATGGGCTCCAGGAGCAATTTTTGTTTCCAGGAGCAATTGCACAGCTGCATGTGTGCATCTAATGGAAGATCTTTCCATGGTGTCCAAGTACTGAGAAATGCTCTGGGTGCCCCATGGAGCAGCATGGCTTGTAACGTGCTCTCCGCTTCACACAGGCGACACGCTTGCTCGCTTCCATCCCTGCCGGGAGTTTTGCAGGGTCTGAATTGGGATCCTTGCCCAATTTAWGCAGTCCTCCCCTTCGCTTGCTTGCAAAGCCTCTTTTCCATACTTCTGGGACTGCAGGCACGGAGACACCCAGAGTTCAAAGCCAGCCAAGACACCCTGTCTAGCACAAGGAACGAGTTGTCACTCATTTTGTTGATCAAGCAATTAGCTAAAACTTTCCAGGAAGGTGCCCAGCCTGGATATGAGCGCACCAGGCAAGGGGCAGACAAGTAGGGCCAGTGCCACGTCCCCGCTGCACAGGCGGTGCTGCCGAGGGACCGAAGCACAGTGATACAGCCCGGCAACTGCCATCAATCACAGGGTCTTAGCGGAGGCTTCTGAGTATTTAAATCATTAATTAAGATTAATGAAATGCGCTTACGCAGTTTATCTAAGTGCATGTTCCAAAACTGAAACCCAGTCATTAATTAGTGAGTGAGACAATTTAAAGGGCTCAGTAAAATCCTCTCCTAAGCTCCAGTGAGGCACATCAGAGTGACTCCAGGTGCAAGGATATGGCCTTACTCTGGGGACAACGTAGTGGAGCAGTGCAGGAGACACTTAAGAAGAAACACAGATGTGTGGTCCCACCAAGATTTGCTTTTAATGGATTAGGGAGTTCCACACAGCCCCAAGAACAGAGAAGGAGGGACACAACCTACTAATCTCCTTGTGCATTTGCAACAAATGTGAGGCTCCATTTGGCATCCTCAAATAAATTAATTTGAAAAAAAAATACCACTGGGATTACCAAACTGATTAGACCTCCCTAGCAATCCCACCACCCAAGTGGCCCCTTGCTGAGGCTGTCAAGCTAATGCAAGAGCCAACCTAGCAGAATGCCACACAACTACGGGTCACATTGATTCTGGGGGCAGTCGTAACAAAATATGGTGGCTTCCAGCTTTGCACAGGTGGAAGCAGCCCTGAAACCCCCAATCTTGCCTTGTCTGGGATTGCTATAGCCTGACTTGGGTATTCCCAGGCAAATCTGCAAAGCTGGATCTCAGTAAAGGTGCCTTCAAGGCACCAGCTGGGGTTCTGGCTAGTGAGAACCTAAGACAATCAAAGGCTCCAAAGCAGCAATCAGATGCCTTCCAAATTGAGCAGACGTGAGAAGTGAATTTTCAACTTCAGATCGATCCAACAACCAAGGTCAGTTAGAAGGAAGTCAAGTTCCTGAAGCAGCCGCTGTTGTGAGTCATAATAGAAATAAGTTGTAATAGTCTCCAGCTGGTGTGGAGCTGCAGCTGCCACTGACCCAGTTAATGCTAACGCTTGGCTGCAGGAAACTTCCACTCCCCTTTCTATGTTAGGGAAACYGGACCATGGCACGGAAGCTGCTTTCAGGCTTTGCCAAGGTTTGACCTTCTTTTTGASCTCCTTCAGAGGGTGGGCTCTGTGCACTGCTCCGTAGGAGAGGCAGATGGGGAGCAGACAGGTCTTCATCTCTTCACCACAGGAGATGTGCTGGTCCTGACAGCATATGCTTCAGTCCTTCTTACTTATCTYGAGACGGGGAGATTGATCTTCTGGATGTGCCCTTTTCATGCCATGACTTTTGATAGGGTTTTGAGTGGTAGGAAGGACCAAGACCTCATCCATGGTGACAAGGAAACCACCACCGCCTACCACAGCAGGACATGGTAGGACCATTGCCAAGACTCTCACAGAGCTTTTTGCCATGCTGATCTCATCAACCCCCTCCAGTTCCCCAGGGAAACAGACTTTCACCATGGGCCAAGTCCCATTGATCGCAAAGGGCTTTTGCATTTCTTGTGTCCTTCTCAACCCCACAGGAGCAGCGCCAGCCCTGCCAGGCACAGCCAAGCACGTTCTTGCAGGCACGTACTCCTGTTGCGTGCCTCAGGGCTCCTGGCATGTTGTCAGCATAGCTCTAGGCACCCTGCTCTGATCCCATCTTATTTATGGCACCTACCTCCTTGCTTATCCCAGCCATCATCACCTGGAACGTTGCAATTTAGATTCCGACTGTGTTGGATTGCACACTCTCCAAATCCACAAATTCCAGTGACAAGCATTAGAGCAGCTCATTTACATGCCAAAGCGATCAATCTGGAACTGCTTGTTACACTAGCGAATAAATAAATAAGGGATACATTAAAGAACCGGGAGCAATCAGCTAAATGAAGCAATAGATGTCAAGTAATGACAAGCTCTGACATCCATAGCGGCCAAGAGGAGGAGGGATGGGACCAGTTCCCCAGCATTGCCCAGGGCTGCTCAGCACTCATTGCTCTGCTCTCGTCCCACGAGCCAGCATGGATGTGATCGATGCCAGTGGGCAGCAAGCAAGGGGTAGAACATGAAATACTGGCTTTAAAACCCATCCTTCCCTGTTGTGTCTGCTCTGAGAAGCATCAGTGTAACTCCAACAAAGAAATCCCTGTTTTCCACCAAAAGGGACTCAACAGTTGGAGTAAACTTTAGGGGCTGGATACTCTAAAATTGAGCTGTTCTGTAACCTGCACCATACTTCGGTGTGGTATCGGTGGGCACTGGGATCCCCAGAAGGTCCCTCCACCCACGGGGAAGGGAGAAGAGCTCTGAMGGGCAGGTGACACGAAGCGTGGCTGAGACAGCACTGCCACCTCGTGGCATGCAAGTCCTGTGCTTGTGTCACACATCCGCAGGGTCACCGTGTCTTTGGGTCACCTCCGTGCTTCTAGAGATGCTCTATGGGGATTTTTGGAAATATTTTACTTCTTACTTTTTAGTGTAGATAAGGACCCTATAGAAGCACTAGCCTGGAGAGGGACTGGACAGAAATATGYAGGAAGAGGAAAGGATATTTTAGAGTTTCAGGTATCCAAGCTGCAAGAGAAGGAGGAAAAGGGCTCGGGAGCAGGAAGAGAAAAGCCTGGCTTGAAAACAACATCCTCCAAAGTCAAGTAAATGATACTAAGCACCACTCAAGAGTCCCAAGGACCTGGAAGCAGCATTGTCAGGCCCAATCCAACTTCCATGAGAAACTGGAAACCGATGGCCAGCTCCCTGACATTCAGCATTTAAATGGCATGAAGGGGACACACAGGGAGATGCTGGTATACAAACATCCATCAGCTCTGGATGAAATGATGGAGCAGGCTCATTTGGGCTGCACATTAGCAAAGGGCAATAGGGCAGAAATACAATTACTGTCCAAAACCACTCTTTTGTGGAAGGTAGGTCTTTTCAAACTAACCTGTCATCTTTCCTTGACACGATAACAGGTCTAGTTGATAAAGGAACTGTGTTGATATAATAAAATTGCATTTCTTCTGGGCATCTGATTTATTACCAGGTGACATTTTGATTAAAAATGAGTATTACATTGCGTTAAGAGGGGATATATTCAAYGAATTAAAGACCATCTCACTGACAGATCTCCAAAGCTAAGTATTATGGGAGACAGACTGATGAGCTAAGTTTTGTCTGATGACAAAAACTCACTCTTTTCTGCTATGACAGGCCACTTTGACCTGTACTGGTGTCATTTTAGTCTCCTTTTCTGGCAGAGGTTTAGGTTCAGTAAGAGTCTCTCTGTGACTCTCCCTGGGCTTGTTGGTACAAAGCGTCATTTGGGGGGATTTTGCAGATCTGACTCAGGTCATATATAGCTAATACGGGTTTGAGTCACTCCCTTCAGGGGGGTCTTGTGGGCAAACCTGTAGGCCAGGAGACCACCATCATATTCCATGAAGCCCTGATGAACTGCTGAAGAACCCAGGTACCTGCTGGACCTTTCACGGTGCCCTTTACAAGGAGAACTCAGGCCATTTTTCTGAGCACGGTGAAAGACACTGAAGGAAATGCCTAATTACATGCAGGTCTCTGATGCCACCATGGTGAGGGATGAAGCCAGGAGAGGGAGGGGGAATCCGCAGGAAAACGCTGGCAGCAGCAGCAATGTCAAGCAGAAGAGAGGCTGGATATCACAGATAGCCCGTCATCCCGCCAGCAAGCTGTCAAGGGAGGCTCCGGGGCATCCCAATCCACCCATGTGGAACATCCCTTGGATGGGACTGCCACCTAGTGCCCACATCACCTGTCACCTCCAACCATGGCGGAGCCATCAACATTTGGGTGTCTCCTACATGTTTGTGCTTCTTCGTGCCCATTACATCGCGCTGGTCCAGTCTGCTGCTGGGCTGAGGGATAAAGGAGAAGACACGAGCAGGGTGGCACAGTCTCCCAGGCTGGGCTGGAGATGCAATGGAAGAAGAGACTCCCAAAGGGGTCTCCTTTGCTTGGCTTTTTTTTTCTCCCAACCAAGGATGAAAATGGTCTTTGTAGTGGATCCAAAGGGGTGAGTGGTCAAATGGAGAATGGGGCTGGCTGGAAGCTGGGTTTCATGGGTTGCACATATCAAGGTCTGCTCTGTCTTGCCTGAAGATCTCTGCACCCAGAGGCTGTGCAAATGCAAGATCGTGTCTACTCTGGAGGACACCATGCTGCTGGTCAGCATGGGATCCTTTTCCCTAGGGATCTGCAAGAGGCCGAGCATTTCTGCTGAACAAGCCAATCCTCACTGGCATGTAGGGATGTCCAGCAGCACCAGGACTTCAGCGTGGGTCAAAASGGGAACTGCGCAAAGAAGTGAAACTCGGCACTTCTCTTCCCCAGTCAGGCAAACTGTCATTCACACAAGTGCACCCCCCCACACACCCTGCTCCTCTTCCTCCCCATTTCCTGCTAAGTGCTGTAAGAAAATAGAGCTGYCTGCTCAGAGTGCTCTGTCCCCGGCCTGGCAAGAAGGTAAGTCACCCTAAAGGGCCATAGCATGTCACTCTGCCACTCCAGACCTGTCCCTTTCTTTCTCCCCCAGGAAGAAGGAGAGGAGATGGTGTGGGAGTGATATCTATCCTCTCTTCRTGGCATGGCTGTGGGCAACTCTGGGCTCTGCAGGGCTGAGCACCCTGGGCTTTGGGGCAGGTCTGGGGTCCCAGCAGGTCCCTCATCTCTCCCAGATCTGAATTCCTCCTGCGTGTCCCTGCCTTGTGCTGGCTCTGCAGGGGCTGGACTCCCCCAGGGTGGTGGGATGGTCCTGGGGGCCCACGTCCTGCCTGGGTTGCTCCTGCGCATTTTCCTTGATGCCCCAGGGCTTGAGTCTTCTCTGAAAGCAGCTCTTGGTGCTGCCTGGGTGCCCAGGGCTAGAGAAACACCCCTGGGGAGGCAAATTTCCCATGCAGCTCTTTAAACCATTGGCACTGAGAAGGACGTGGTGAGATGTGGTGCAAGGGCAAAGCCTCTGGTTGCTCTTTTATTCATCCGTGCCCGACAGGCTTTGAGAGAAGATACCCTTAGGCCCAATGCTTGTCTTTGCAAAGCAGAGATTTGGTCAGAGGTGTGTGCCTGTGTGTTGGTGCATGCACGTGCGTTTTGTGCCTCCATCCCCAGTCCCCCCTGTTCTTGTGTTCACAGAGAGGGGCAAGATGCAGCTGAGGTTCTGGCTGGCCACTGGTGTGCTGCTGGCAGCGCTGGGCACTGCCTGGCTGCAGGAGAGTGTGTGTCGGGCACCGGATGGCAAGGACGGCCTCCCCGGCGTGCCTGGCCTTAACGGGAGGCCAGGGCAGAAAGGTGACATGGGAGAGCCAGGTAAGGGAGTGCTGAGAACCTCTGGCCTTCTGGTAGGAGCATCATGGGCTTTTGGAGCAGATATTACGGGATGCCAGATGTGCCGGCCATGGTGCCAACTGAGCTTCTTCATTGCCTCTCCCCAGGGAAGCCATCACGGAGAACTGGCATCCGTGGACCCAAAGGGGATGAAGGTGAGCCAGGGATCCCTGGCACTCCAGGAAACCAAGGCTACCTTGGCCCAAGCGGACCCCCTGGGCTCCCAGGTGAGCCAGGGCCAAAGGGGGCCAAGGGCAAGGCCGGTAACATCAGGGAGCAGCCGCGTCCAGCCTTCTCGGCCTCAAGGAAATCCCCACCATCCCGGGGCCACACTGTTGTGTTTGATAACATCATCACCAACCAGGAGAACTCCTACAGCGCCCAGACCGGGGAGTTCACTTGCAGAGTACCTGGCCTCTACTACTTCGCCTACCAAGTCATCTCCAGCGGAGACCTCTGCCTGAGCATCACCAAGAACAGGGAGAGGATGGTCAGCTTCTGTGACAACAACGCTCGCAACATCCTGCAAGTGAACTCAGGCAGCAGTGTGCTCAGCCTGGCGGCGGGTGACAAGGTCTCGGTGACCACCGACCCGCTGAAGGGCAGCATGATCTACAGCRGCTCCGAGGCAGACAGTGTCTTCAGCGGCTTCATGCTCTTCCCACAAATGGGCTGAGGGATCACCAGCTCCCAGGCTGGACCCGTCCTGCTTTGCACTGGAGTATGGCTTGCGCACAAGGGTGCATGTTCTCATGCTCCACAGGTGCATGCAGGTGGGTTTACATTGTGGCTCTTGGGGCTGTCCTAGCACAGGGGACAGCCATGAACTCTGCTGCTGCTCCAAGACTTCTCTTCCATCAGCATCACAAGGTGACCAGGCTGCAGGAGACCACTGACGCAGTGAGATCTTGGCCTCCAGGCTGTGCTGAGCCTGCCTTTCTGCTGGAGCTGGTCAAGAGGACTCTTAGCACCAGCAGCCCTTTCAGCACCTGCAATTGGAGATCCCATGAAAGAAGGGATCGGTTGTCACCTGGGCCATTCCCCAGCTGCAGCTCTTTGCTCCTGAACGGGAACACACCACATGCCACCGCTTTGCTGTGCTAGCCRTTGCAAAGGCCTTTCTGGCATGAGGCCACCCTTGCCTTTCACGTCCTTCCTGCCAGCACAAATAAACCCCTTCTTTCCTTACAGCTGCTTGAGTTTTCTTTCCTATTCACACACCTTTCCCAAACCACTGATGTTCCAGGCACTTCCCAAGAGCGGCAGCCAGGAGCTGGGAACACCAGTAGAGCCGGCACATGCAGGGAGGAGAAGGGGGRATCTCCAGGACTAGCCTAGATATGGTTTTACCCAGTCAGACCAAGATAGTTGCCCTGTGCAGGAGTGAATGCAGGTGGCAGAACACAGGCTTAACCCACATGGACATTTCTTGGCCATCTGGTCATGGGAAATACAGTTGTGGTCCTCCGGTGTGTCACCAACGGGTTGCCAGGGGATTAGGGTGGCTAGTGGGCTATAAAGGCTCTTCTTCTTCCAGCTCAGGGTGAGACCAGTGGGTACCCCGGAGAGGGAGCAGACCAAAAACTCTGGAGGAGAAACACCTTTKGTCACCTCCTTATTCCCTATCATCCCCAAATCACCCATCCAGGTTGACCTTGAATAGGGCTTGCACCAGCCATTCTCCTTGCATCCAGAGCTGGTTCCAAGGTCAGTTCTCACCTTGCTCCCTGCCCTTCCCTTGGGAAAAAATAAGCAGTATGGAAGGGGCTGAGGAGTGCAGACAGGCCAGAAAGTGCTTGCTCAGAGGAAGTCACATCCTTCAGGCAGAAGGATGTGAAACTTGGGTGGGATCCAGCTGCCCAAGGGCCATCTCCCAACTGAGAACCTTCCTGCAAGAGGGTGTTGCAGAGGCGGCAGGGCTGGGAGGCAGTACTGGCAGCAGCCGGAGCTCTTGGCTGTGCAGGACCCTGTGCCCCGCGTCCTCCTCCCACCAGAGGTAAGAGATACAGTGGGGTGCATCACCCTGGGGTGAGCAGCACGGGGAGAGGGAGGCAAGCAGCATGGTGCAAGGCTGTGAGGAATGAGAGGAGGAGGAGGCACTGCTGGGCACCTTGGTTGCACATCTGCCAGGGGGATGACCTGCTCTACAGGGACAGACCTAGTGCTGGGAGATCTCCAGAGGATACAGAACCCCTGGTACTCTGAGCACGGAGGTCTCCAGAGGATACAGGTGCCCCTGGTGCTCTGAGCCTTATTCCTTGGCTACCCCAGACACCTCACCGCATGGTGCTTCACTAACCCTGTGGTCTCCAAGCCACCTCTCATGCTCTCTTTTCCTTTCCATGTTCCAGAGCATCCAAATGGGGCAGAGTTTTCGGGAGCACCTTGGTCTGGCCCTCACCCTCCTTCTCCTGCCTCTGGGGGCTGCAGTAACCACAGAAGCTAATCACAACTGCTATGGGGCTCCAGGTCTACCAGGCATGCCGGGCATGCCAGGCAAGGACGGCCGGGATGGGCTGAAGGGAGCCAAAGGCGAGCCAGGTGAGTGAGTGAGTGAGGAGGGGGATTGTGTTAATATGGGGGGGCTGCTCATCTGCTGGGACATGTGGGCCCCCAGAATGGGCCRTGGAGAGCAGCATCCAGCAGCTGGATCTCTGCTGTGGAGAGCCTCTGCCCAGGGCAGTTTGGACAGGGCAGCCAGAAACCCCAAGCTTCTCTCTTRGTTCCTGAGCATAGATGCTTTCCTGGGGCTGGAGAGCAGGTGGGAGAGAGGAATATCTCCTTGTCTCAGAGCAGGGGGTACAGGCGCCTCTCCTCACATGCTGTCTGATTCCTCTCCACCCAACAGGCATCCCAGCCATTGCTCGTACTGAAGGACCCAAGGGTATGAAAGGGGAACCAGGCAGTCCCGGCTTGCCAGGCAAAACCGGCCCCATTGGTCCACCTGGTCCTCGTGGAGACACGGGAGGGATGGGCCCCCCTGGAGAGCCAGGTATGACTGGCAGCTACAAGCAGAAGCACCAGTCAGCATTTTCAGTGACAAGGCAGACAAGCATGCACCCCCTGAAGAACGTCCCTGTGGTGTTCAACCACGCCATCACCAACACGAACAATGACTACAACACCACCACGGGCAAGTTCACTTGCAAGCTGCCTGGCCTCTACTACTTCGTCTTCCACACTTCACTGTCAGCCAACCTCTGTGTCCTGCTCTACAAGAACACAGTGAAGGTGGCCAGCTTCTGTGACCACAAGACCAATACCATGCAGGTCAGCTCGGGTGGGATCCTCCTCCATCTGGTAGGTGGGGACCAGGCCTGGCTGGAGGTGAACGATTACAATGGCATGGTGGGCATCAGTGGCTCCGACAGCATCTTCTCAGGGTTCTTGCTCTTCCCGGACTAGAGGACAGCTAGATCCCACCATAGCGTGCCAAGCTGTTCTCCTTGCCCTCCAAATGCTGTCRCGTCTCTGCTAACGCCTTCACCACTGCAAAGTTTGCCTGCTAGACTGGAAGACCCAATGAGGACGCCAACCCCAGAAGCTGGCCACAGTAACTGGGCTGGGGACGGAGTGGGCTGAATACTGAGAACATTTGGCTACCTCTGTGCCCATGGGGACACTACCAGACTCTTGAGGACCTGCTGACCCTGCCAAGCGGCCTGGAGCTGGCTGGCAGCAGGCGCTTTGCTGTGACCTTGCTATGGAAAGAGTCAATAAAATTTCTCCCCACTGTGCCTGGCCCAGTATCATTTTTTTTAAACTTCACATCTTGGCTTTCTGCATGGAAAGTCCATGCATAACTGKAAGGAGACAGAAGGCCATGTGTGCATGTATGTATGAGTGTATGAGAGAGATCTGGGTGTCCAGGCTGTTCTCCGGGAGAGAAAGACACTGTATATCACCCCACTTCTGCTTTACTGGTGTAGGACACAATTCCTGTGACCCTACACACAGCTCCAGCCCATGGGATGCCCAAGGCTCTTGGTGACAGAGTTGGTGGGGTTCCCCTCCTGCCCAGGTGTGTGCAATTTGCTTACAGAAAGCCACAAACCACACAGCAAAGCACACAGCCAAGGCAAATAGGACATCCTCGGTCTCACCAATGACCGCCCCACTGATTTCCAACTGGGACATCCCCAATCTCACCACTGTCCACCCCACTGGTTTCAGAGCACAAATGAAGGGCTCTGCCACCCCAGATGAGGCAGTGTAAGGCACCAGAGTCTTACCTGGGGAGAAACTTTTTGCTCAGAGCAAGCACTGAAATATGCCTGAGATGTATGGTGCTGAAGTCAGCAGGAGTTCAGCACTGAAGTGCACATGTGGAGACGGGGTCCAACCTCAGGGCAAACCTGAGAGACTTTAGCTAGGTTGAGYAGGATATCCACAACATCCAAGCAGAGGATGCTCAGTTCCTGGCTGCTGGAAGCTAGTGGATATACCCTTGGGAGATGGTTCTTCTTTGGTGTCTTATGTTGTCATCTCCAGTGAGCACCTAGTGCTCCAGTGAGCTGCCTAGAGATGAGCCACAAGTTGTGTCTTCTGAAACTGCTGGAACCTCCCAAACAGAGCCAGATACATGTGGAGAAGCCTGAAGGATGCTCACAAAATCCCTTTCTACATCTCCAGAACTCCTCTGAGAACTGCTGTCATAGAGCCTTGATCTGTGACAAAGACAAGTGAAAGGGGCTGAAGTGCAAAAGTGAGGTAGCAAAGAAGGAGCRTGTTTTCCACCACAGTGATGGTCTGATTTGCACAATTTCACCACTATGATTGTRTTATGCTCAACAGAAATGACACGGATTTATGCAAGTGCTACATAAAAGGAGAAAAGGACCTCTTGAAGGACTACCCATAATTTGCCTTGATCTCATGGCCAGTGTTCCSCATGGCAAGCCTGTTATTAGACAGGCCCCAGAGGCATTGCGTGCCAGAAGGGCCCCAGGGCATTGCCCGAGGACTTCATGTTCTGCTGAGCTGGCAGGTAGCACTTGTAGGGGATATGAAAGTGCCAGTGAAGAGAGCACAGGAGCTAAAGATAATTTAAAGAAAGGAAAAAAAAAAAAAAAAAAAAAATAAAAAAAAAAAAAAAAAAAAAAAAAAAAAAAAAAAAAAAGGGATGTGGGGATGTGGCCAGATCCTTTCACAACACTTTCTTTGCGTCAAACTTCTGCTTCCCTCCAGGGCCATTTCCAAGCAGGACTCTGGCGTGCCCTGTTCCATCTCCCACTTCGTGCTGCAAGCAGCTCAAGGTAAGAGTGAACCACCCTGAGATCCAGCCCTRTCCCTCGGGAAAGAGCGCAGGGGGAATCCAGCAGCACCAGGAATGTGGTCATCCTATGCATGGGGTTGCTGGAGGAGCAACAAATATATTGTTGTGGCCTGGGACAGAAAAGAAAGTAGCTGCTGGAGCTGATGGAGATCTCTGTTTGGGACACCAGCTCCACTGAGAAGAARGGAAGAGAGAAAGGGAAGGTAATGAGGCCCAGTGGCTTTGGACAAGGTTTTGGTCCTACATGTGGTGGTCCTGGGGTGGGCTGGGGAATTTCCGAGCCCACAGAGCCCTTGGGACTCGGAGGGGTCCTGCAGTCTCTTCCTCCTGCAGCCCAGCCCAGCACGTACAGCCTCCCGCTTCCCTGGTGCTCCCAACACTCGTGCAGCTGAGGCTCCGGGCACTTGTACACTGCAACGTAAGAGCTGAAAGAGACTTGTTCCTCCCTAGGGTAAAGGCTTTCCAATGCTCGAAGGGTCTGGTCCAGTTATAACCAGAAGCAGGGTGGATTTGGTCCATAGTTTGATCCGTAGGCCAGAAGATTGTTTCTGGGTCTTCTTCCTCYGAGCTGTGCGGAGTGGTGGCTCCATCCCTCCCATTGCTGAAGCATCGGCCGCACTGCAGTGTCCTGCTCTGTTCCAGGAGGCAGAGCGAGATGCGGAGCGTGGGCGTGATGCTCATCTGCCTGGCTGGTGGGCAGCTCACAAGCGCCACGTTCTGCAAGACCTACGGCACCATCCCAGGCATCCCTGGGTCACCGGGGCAGCCTGGCAGCAATGGCCTGGATGGAAAGAATGGACAAAAGGGGGAGCAAGGTAAGGAGGGGGTTGTGGGGAGGCTGCAGGGTCACAGAGCTCCACCATGCTGCAGGTTAACAGTGTTCYTCCTGTTCTCCAGGTCCCCCTGGCCATGTGGAGGATGAAGGAGAGATTGGGCAGAAGGGAGAGCCAGGGGCTCCAGGGTACCCTGGGAAGGTCGGCCCCAAGGGTCCAATGGGCTCAAAGGGAGTTCCGGGCCCCGTGGGTCCCCCCGGGCTCCCGGGGGACTTTGGTGACCACAAGGCCACTCTGAAGTCCGCCTTCTCAGCTGCCAGGACAGTCAGCATCCTCCCACGGCGGGAGCAGCCCATCCGCTTCGATCGCATCATCACCAACGAGAACAACCACTACGAGAACCGCTAYGGCCGCTTCACCTGCCGCATCCCCGGCATCTACTACTTCACCTACCACRTCACATCCAAAGGCAACCTGTGCATCAACATGAAGAAGGGCCGGGGTGGCAGCAAGGGCCAAAAGGTGGTGACTTTCTGTGACTTCGTGCAAAGCAGCTACCAAGTCACCACGGGTGGTGTGGTGCTCAAGTTGGCAGCTGAAGAGACCGTCTGGCTGGAGCCCACAGAGAAGAACTCCGTTGTGGGTGTTGAAGGCRCTGACAGCATCTTCTCTGGCTTCCTGATCTTCCCTGAGGCTTAGCCTGCTGTGGCACCACCTGCACCCCCTCCACAGCCCCTTCCCTGCAACTGACCTCTGCCAAGGTCTCCCTTGAAGGTAACTCTGCTCTAGACGCAGTGCCTTGAGTCTCTCGAAGGGGTTCATGAAACGACAGCTCCTTGTGCTGCTGGTTCCTTCGTGCCCATGTTTCACCATCTCAGAGTCTGGTCCTGGGGCTTTCCCAGCTCTTGGATATTGTTATGGAGGAGGGATGGGAGAGAACACACCATGCACCTAAGTCTGCTGGCTCAAGGACTGAAGCAGGAATGGCCTGCTCCTTGCCAGAGMAGCAAGGAGCAAATGCAATGGGATCATAGACATTTTCCCAAGCCAAGCCTGGCAACCAGCAGGTCTTCTGCTACAGCTGGACACTTTGATGCCCACACTACCTGAAGAACACAGATCTCCAGGCTAAGCTCATCACCTCCCAGGTTACTCCTCCTTCTTCTACACCAGAGTGCAGACTAGGCTCAATAAATGCAATTCCTGCTGCAGACCACCCTGAGTAAATGCATCTCCTTACAGAGCTACRTGGAGAAAGACCCCAAAAGAAAGGAAGCGTGGTCTCTAGTAGTGGGGACAGAGTGAGAAAACTGGGGACATGCGATACCAGGCGCATGGGGAGCCCCTGGAGATGGTGACGTGCTACAGAGCCTGCTAGGACTGGGGGACACCTCCTCTGTCCTAGTCCTTGTGGGGGGTGACAACAACCTCCCAGCTCAGCCGAGCTCCCTGCCAGAGGTGGCTTTGTCACCAGTAGACCTAGCAGTCCCTAGGGCCTCCCGAGCACCATCAAGCTGCCCGCTCCGGCTCGGATCCGGATTGTTTTACCGGCAGGTGGCACTGGAGACTGAGCTAGCTCCAGCTAGAGCATCCTTGTTCCGCAGCCTGGGAGCGCACGAGCTTGCAGCATCCCAGACAGGCAGGAGAAMGCACGGGGCAGGAACCCGCTGACATTTAAGGGAGATCAATGTAAAGCCTGTCACCTTTGGGAGGGCAGCCTTACATAGCAGGAGAGGTTGGAGGCAGAAAGCAGCTCTGCAGGMAAAAACCAGGGTCGAGTAAGCTGAACGTGAAGCTTTCTGTGGGTCCTCTTGATGTAATATATGTGGACTTTTGTAAAGGTCTTTGTCGGGGCACCTCAGCAAAAGGACTTGTTTTTTCTTTCTGAAATTAATGTCTGAGCTAGTGGCAGCCTCAGTCAGAAGATTCGTAGACTCYGGGTTGGAAGCTGAAGGGCCTCAGTGAGCAGAGATGGGCAACCAGGTACCCATCCCACAGACACCAGCACATGGTCTCCAGTGACACTAAAGGCAGCGAGCAGGAAGCTCATTTGCTTGGGATCCTCTCCAGAACAAGGAATCAGTCTGGCCCAAAGCTCACCAGAAGCAAAGACCTTAAACATCCATAGAGATTTGATAGGATTTGAAATAAAGCCTTCCTATTCCAAGGCGTATAAGAGCAGAGATCAGCAAGAACATTGCAGGATGTTGTTTTCCTGCATCATCTTGTTAGGGTTTGGGGTTTTTTTTCCTCTATGCTGAAGCTCCAGTCCAGGCTTCAGGTAGGACCCGGTACAATGCAGCGTGCTAGCACCTATCCATATTCATGCAAAGCCAGGCTTAAGCAGGGAGATCAAAGCACATAGCAGAGGGGGTATTTAGTGCTGGAAGGGATTTCTGGTGGCTGCATGGTCCAGCCTCTCCTTAAAACGCTCCTCTGCTTCCCAAGCTCTTCTCCCAGGCCATAGMCACAAGGATGCTCGTCCCCAGCAGCACCTTGCTGAGCTATCCACAAGCATTTCTTAACCATCAGCATCCCAGGACTGATGATGGTCTCCACAACACACACACAAGCTCCATCCCCACGTGCTGTGGGGTGGCTCATTTTGGGGTGCATGTCCTGAGCAGGGGGCTTCACCTGACATCAGCCTGGAGCCACCTGGATCAAGCTCTCTTCTGCCTCAAGCTCCACTGGAATTCCCACTTTTCCCACCTCCTTTGTGTCCAGGCTCGGAGCTGTGGAGGCTCTGCTCAGCCCTGGCCACCCAAGGGTTAAGTCCCAGCCCTTCTTGCTGCTCTGCCTCCTTATGAGGAACAGCCTTCGCCAGGGCTGCAGAAAGGCTCTTTCTTTCCCCAGCAGATCTCCGGGAATKAAAAGTCTGTGTTCCAGATATTAAATTACTCATAAAATAGTTGGCCTGTCCCCGAGGCGGCTCAGCAAGGCAACCCCCCCCGCCGGCCCCCGCCGCCCGCCCCGCCGGGCTGCTGATGTGCATCTGCACGTCACCTCCCGCTCCAAGGTCAATCTCTCCAATTTAAAGCAGCAACGTTCAGAAAGCAAACCAGATTTCAGCCGGAATTAGCTTCAAACGGAGCACTGAGGGCACTCGTGCTGGGAAGGGAATGCGGGAGGGGAAGGAGCAGCCGAGCCRGGCTGCAGGAGCATCCCGCCCGATGCCAGCCCTGGATGCACGGGCACATCCAGCTCTCCCGGGACAGGTACTAGGAAAAGGGGAAGAGGTGCAGTCCCAGCGGCCCTGCTGAGGCATTGCAGAGAGGCGCTTGTCCCCTGGCTCTGCAACAGCCACCAGTGACCTACAACAGGACCAGGAGCGGGTTTCCATGGGGACGGGCAGGGATGGGGAGCGTGGCCTGTGCTCCGCTACGGGCACAGCTTTCCTTGACGTCGGGCCCGGCTCTTTCCGCTCTGTTTCTCCCTCCGCAAAGGAGCAGAGTCTCCCGGCAGATGGAGGAGCCAGGAATGGGATGTGGGAAGATTTGAGGGAGAGCAAGGCACGGTCCTGCCTGCACCCTTAGCCCCGTAGGGGATGTAGCCAGGTCCAGTTTGCCCCTGCAGATGCACATGCAGGAGTGAGACGCTGCATGGCGGGGGCACCTACTTTTCCACGGAGATGCCACCACAAGCCCTATTCCCATCACATATGCAGCCACGGCACAAACCCAGAGGCAAGCGCTCATGCAAATCAGTACGCAGAGCACGTAGCAGCCATAGGCACCGCACGCAGACCACGTGCGCTGCTGGTGCACCGGGGAAAAGGAGCACATGGGCAGCTCACGGTGGGCCGCAGGAGCCCAGCATTGCTTGCAGCACCCTCCTGTTGCCCTTCCACCCCGCACTTACCTGCAAAGGACCCCACGCCATGCAAAAGGCAGCTAGGAGCATGCAGCACAGCAAGATGCTGCGCTGCACGGCCTTGCACCGGCTGCGAGGCTGCGGGAGGGTCTCTGCAGGGAAGCGCGCGTGGACACATACCTGAAACACCCACCTGGCTTTTTCAAGGGGAATTATCTGCAAGTCTGCCACACTGGCCGACTCACCAAGAAGCCCAGGCTGGGCTCCTGAAGCCTGCAAAGCAGCTTCGTGGCGAGCGTGCGGGCCGGGAAAGCAACGCCCCGGCTGCACGCTGCGCTCCCTCCTGTCCCCATTCTGTGCCAGGAGCACTTTTGTCTGCAGATGTTGGCATGTGCAGTCACCAAGGCGACGGTGGCAGCGGCAGGTCGCCCAGGCGCGCACGCCGGAGCGGGCGGCCGCTCGGAAACCCCAGCGTCGCCCAGGAACTGGTCCCGCTGCAAACGGAGCTCCCGGCTCAAGCCTGGCTCAGGGCGTCTGGGCTTCGATTGCAGCGCACAGCAGCAGGGCCTGCCTGGGTGCGAGATTTAGGAGGCTGCAGCTAGGAGTTGTCCTGGAGCTCATAGTCCTTCACAAGTCGCCTTCACATGTCCCTGAAGGCAATGGTGACCAAAGGGACAAATCCCTTGGTTTTGGGAAGGTCACTGGCAGTGACATTGCTCAGAGAGRCCAAAGGGCCTCCTGGCCACACTCCTCTTGGCATGTGGAGCAGGGCCTTGCATGACTTGTCCTTTTGGTGATGGAGCTTCTCATCACCACACAACCCCCCGACGTACTCGCCAGGTTCTGCTCACCCCCCATTTTCCTTTTTTTTGGTCTTCTCCTTTTCCCTTGCAAAACGCATTGCGGGGATGCCAAGAACACGGTCTGAATGCTGTGCATCCATGACCCCGAGGACCTGCAGCGGAGAATCCAAGCAACCTGAGCCCTGGCAGCCAGAAGCATGACCCATTTATTATTAACGCCTTTCAGTGCTTGTGATCCGAGATTCAATGTATTTAATTTTTAAAGACAGCTGGTACTGTTTGGGGTTTGGGTTTTTTATATATATACATGTGTGTATATATATGTATGTGTATGTATGTATATATACATATATATATACAAACACACACATATATACATATATTTTGTGTATGTATATATATTTTTCCCCAGGTTTTCTTCACTGATTGGCAGCTCTGCAGGATTCACCTTCAATCAAGTAATGGGGTTCAGCTGCACACCTTGTGGGGAAAACTACTTAGCACCATCTCTTGACACAGGTGGGAGTTTTGGTGGAGGTTGTGGCTGCTCTTGGTGCAGAACCATCATTCTRTTCTTCAGCCTTGTGTTCATCCATCTCATTTCTGCATCCCCAGAGCCGAGCAGAAAGCATCTGCAGACATGTCCTCCCTGGATCGCTTCTTCCCTGACCTTCTCCAGGAGGTAGGGTGTAAAGAGAAGGTTTAGGGGTTAATGGTCCCTTATGGCCTTGACCATCAGAGCTGGCAGATCAGCACACAATGCTGAAGTTTTTGCACCACACTTTGCATTTTTTCTGTCCTGGATGGCCTTTTCCCACGTTGCTCCTGGCAGGGGTGTCTCAAAATGCAGACAAGAAAGGCTGTTCTCAAGAGGTGACCATTTGCAAGGTCCAGAGGACATTTYGCTTGGGCAGGTGGAAGCAGGACTGCCTGTCACTTAAAGCATCTGGAGAAAAATACCTTTCAGAAGTTGCATTTCCTAAAAAGAGTTCTTTAAAACTAAACTTTGGTCTGAAMAAATGGGGATTTCACCGCAAAGAAAATTTTGTTCTGTGGCCGGAGAATGAAGGATCCTGGCTTCAAGTATTCACCCACAATGAATTAGATCCCTCGGATACTGAGGGCTTTTTGGTCTGGTTTCCTAAAGGATCGTGACTTTTGCGATCACATCTTCTTGTGCCGTGGGACCTGAGCTTAACACCACTAAAAATAAAAGAAAAGAATTAAACGTTTTAACTCCCTCTATTACCTGAGAGCATGTGAGTCTACAATATGAGCCAGGTAAGATGGACACATGGTGTCTCTAGTCTCCAACAAGCTCACTGAATGGGGGATACCAAAAACAAAGGAGCGTGGCTGTGGGGACGCTCAGGCTTGAATGCTCCCAGACACCAGGGAGTCTGCACAGGTGAGGGGAGCACACACATGGTGAGTCCTGCCAGGATGGACATGTTTAGAGAAGAGCTCACCACGGGTGAGGGACCTTTGCTAGGATGGACATGTTTAGAGAAGGCCTCACCACGGGTGAGGGACCTTTGCTAGGATGGA